CCGCGCGCGCCTTCCCCGCCGAGCCGGGCCGCCGAGCGAGGCGATTTTCCGGCCCTGATCAGCCGGCTGGCGCAGCCCGATCGGGAGGTGCCGCGGAGACCCCGAGAACGGCCAGGCCGGGGGAGAAGGACCCACGCCCCGGGAGCGAGCGCAGGGGCAGGGGTGTGTCTTCCTGCTTCGCGCGGCGCCAGGAGAAAAGCATGCCTGGTTGGCATGATAAGAATATTGTTTGTTTTTGAAAAGGAGAATATTGTCTTTAGGTCTTGCAGAAGGACCGGATAGAACACTCCGCTTAGGGGTGGGTCCATGAAAAGCCCCTGTCCCTGTTATAAAAGCAGTTCATTCTGCCAGCCTCACGGTCAAGACAGCACAGAAAAGTATTGACAATACTCTCTTAAATGGCAAACATCCACCCACCTGCCACTCCGTCACAGCATGGCTAACATTTTGGTGAGAGCAATAAATAACAGATACATAGTAGCCTTTGTATGAACGTAATAGTATATTTTCATCAACTGCCATAATTTAACCAAGCCCTCCTGATGAGCATGTAGATTTTTTCCCCAGTTTGCCCCAAGATGAACAGCTCTGCCAACAGGGCTGGTCTGACTATTATTTTCGGATAAATTTACAAATGAGGTAAAAGGTAGTGTTGTAAAAATATGCCATATTTGTTTCTCTTTATCGACACGGTGTAAAAAAGTGCGGCACTGTTATAAAAATTGTTTGCCTTATTTTTTTCAACTTTTAGCTCTTTAATTACTTAAAATTTGGTTTTGTTTTAAGAAATATTTTCCGAATAGTTAGTCAGTTGTCCCAATTTTTCTGAATAAACTACCACTGCTGTTTTATGCTATATTTTAGACCTAAAGTTTTAAGTATGTATATATAAAGGATTGCTTATAAATTTGATAGTTAGATGTTGTGTATGCTGTTTTTAAGTTCCATTCAATGCCTTTTTCCTATCTTTAAATCCTGTTTCTTTACAAGTTGAGGAAATATTTCATGACTGAGTTATCTTTTAAATGAAAAGTCTTGTTGTGTCATTTGCTTTCTTGCTGACAAGATAACAAATGCCATATGAAGAGTTCAGGTTTGTTGTGGCAACTTTTCAGTCTGGCATTTGAGATTCTAATCTTCCTCTATTTTTGCACATGAATACGTAGGTTAGCATTGGAGACCAAGATAGAAAAGTTCTCAGATTCCCTTGGCAAGCCTAGATTTTTCAATCTAAAATTATCTCTGGATTTTTGGAAGACAGCATGTTTTAAGCATCCTTTTAAAAAAAACTTAAAGAAGTTGCACATGATTCTGCTGGAAATTGTACTGTGTTTATTCTGTTGAAAGCCTAAGCTTAATGCACCAGACGTTTTTTGTCAAGTTGGGCTTCCAAGTCTATTGGAAAATAATTGGAAGCTTGTAGCTGGGGCGGCCTGTGAGTGGGATATTCCCTGTCTCCCTTTTCTTCCCATGACTTTGTCCCTAGTGGAAAATGATGCCTTTCTAGGTGGACAGAGACTAGGAATGGTGGTTTGAAGTAAGTAATTGCTTCACTTTTGAGTTATTATAGAAGCAGGTGCCATTTTCTCTTAGAGAACCTGAGTCTGTAAGGGATTGCACTTCATTTGGGTTTTTTGCCTTCATCTCTGTTAAGCCTGTCCTCTTGAGGTTCTTAGTTGCCAGATGCAGCGGCCCCTGCATACCCATTTCTCTAGACTGTGAGCACTTGGCCTGGTGAGCCACTCTCTTGCTCTATTCTTGGTTGGCCTCCTGACATGGAGCCATTGTGGTCCTTTCCTTACCTTTGTCATTGCGCTTGTCTTTGCTGCTTCTCTTCTTCCCACATCTGCCTGAAGCACTTTCCGAGCTGTGCTCATGTCTCTAGCCCTCACCTTTCATGCTCCTTGCCACTTAGTGACCTTCAAGCAGAGACTCACTTCACTCCTGCACTCGGTGACCCCAGCTCAGACGTTGCTGCAAGTCATTTCTTTCTCTCTCTCTGACCCCAGACATGTTCCTGAGGCCATGCTTTCTCCAGTGATGGAGCCGGTCATCACTTTCCAAGGTGGCCTTTCCTTCACGACTTTGAGGTTCTTCCCAGGTAACACGTCATATCTCATCTTCCATCTCTGTTTGGGTTGTATTCGCCATTAACTTTCTATCTCCAGCTTGATTTAAACTTTGTCTCTTTGGCCTAAAGGGTTTCAGAGATAATCTTGTCCTATCCTAGATGATGAAAGTGACAGTCAGTCACACTCATGACGTTCTTACAGTACGGACCAGTTACTGCCCTGGAAGGCTGGAGTATAGACCAGTCAGGGGAGAGAGCCAAGTAAACAAGTGACTACAAGTAGGAGATGCTTATATCGCTTCACCAAGTTTCGGAGATTGTGCCTTCTCGTTCACTGCTGTTATCTCCGAGGCCCAGAATACAGTGTTCTGGATACTAGTGAGTATGTGTTGAATGAATGATTGATCATCTGACTACACAAATGAGCTATCTGAGAAAAGATATGAATCAGGAGACATTGTGTAGCTGTAGATTGGAGAGTTTCAGGGAAAACTTGAAGTTCACCAAACCGACCCAGCTGTAACCCCAGGAAGGCATGATTGGAATGTTTGTTGCTAGAATACTTAAACTTAATTTTGTGTCCTCAAAAGAAAAACTGCATTTGTAGAAGGAGAGGATTGGGGTGGTGTCTGTGGTAGCTGCGGTGGCCAGTCTGAAAGAGGAACTGGGTGGTGTGTCTGTGGCACTGTCTGGAGGCCTGGACCCCAGAGGAGCTACGTGCAGGCCTCTGTCTACCAGACAGCCAGGGCCCTCCCTGTTGTGCCTGGAGCTAGGAGAATCTTTTCCCTTGCTTTGCTTCTATGCTCCTAATACTCTTTAGAACATGGTTTCACATCAGTTTCCTGACAAGGATAGAATGTGAATGGCTGAGAACTTTGCTTCCAGACACCTTGGGTCACATCCTGGTCTTGGGATGCTGGTTAACCTTGCTGTTTGCCCCCATCTGTAAAATGGGGTAATAGCTCCTTCCTTGGCTGCCTGGCCCCTTGTAAGTGCCCAATAAGTATTTGTTCTCATCAGTAATTATGAGCTTAATAATTGTCTTCTGGTTCATCCAGCAGCCATCTTTGAGCTTGGATAGCCTGAATCAGTCCCCCTGAACTTGTTGCTCCTGTGGACACTGACAAAGCTGAGAACCCAAGGGAATAAGTCCTGATAGAGAGATTCTTCCCAAGCTGCCTTTCTTCTTGTAAAAAAGATTTATTTTTATTTATCTATGCATACAAGAATGGAGTACAGGCTAGAGGCGCAAGGGAGTGAGAGGATTCCCCAGAGACAGTACGGAGCAGAACAGGTGAATCTATGAAATGCACTGCTGAGGGGAACAGCGGGTGAGACAGGAGAGGTCTGCTGCGCCATGCGGGTCACCTCCCTGGCCAGGGATTGAACTCAGGCCATCCGGGTGGTTGGTAGTGCTGAGACTTAACCCCTAGGCCACCAGGGAGGCCCTCCAACATGCTCGTCTTGAGGGTCCACCTGCAGTTGTGGGGGGAGGTTCCTGGGGGACTGTGCTTGAGCTGAGCACTGGAGGGAGAAGTGAGGAAGTCAGCACCACAGTGAGGGGAGAGGACTCAGGTCCTTGACGAGTGCCAAGATGCAGAGGTGAACAGACATGAGGTATGTGAAGTGCAGGATATTTAGGGTAAAAGATCGACAGGGGAGTATGACCAGGGAGTAGCAGGAAATGAGCATGGAGAGGAAAGCAGAGCCAGCACTTGAGAAGTAATAACAATGTCGATCTTACTGGGCACCAGCAGTGTGTCAAGCGCTGTATCCATCCCGACAAACAGTGCTGGCAGTGTGGCTGTGAGAGTGCGACCTGTGCAGTCCTGGCAGCAGCCCGTGACGGAGTGCTGTGCTAGCCAGGGAGAGGTCTGTCTGCCTCCTGATTCAGTTTGCGCGCTGCTGCAAGACTACTCCTTGATGCTTTTATACATTTAAAGACTTTTTGTTCTGGGATTCCCCTGGTTTCCTGGTGGAAGTCCAAGCCCACCGAGATCATCTGACTTTAGAAAAACTTCTTGGGGTAAAGTGTGGAAATACATGTATCTTAGAATTGAATAAAGACAGCAATGGATGTAGATAGACATTAAGCTCAGAGAAATATTCAGTGAAAAAAGCAAGATGCAGAACAGTGTGTGTGTGTGCTCATTTGTGTCAGGAGAGAAATGAAATAGGTTTCTAAGTACAGAAAAAAATTTCTGGAATGGCAGAAAAGGCACAGTGGTTGCCTTTGGGATAAAGTCCCAGAAATTTAGACTGTTAGACTAACCTTTTCTTATGTACTCTTTCCACTCTTTCACTGTGTATGCATTATATTTTTAGTCAGAATTAATACAAATAAGTCTTCAAGCTCTGCTGTGTACATAACAGTTATTTAGAGAAGAAATTTAGTGTAGAGCTTAAAAGAAAAGATTATTCAGGTTATCTGGGTCCAAGTTCTGCCCCCTAAACTTTCGGTTCGGTACCCTTTCTCTCCTCGGTCCACAGTCTGAGGTGGGAGAAGCGCTCTGCCTGTCTCCCGGGGCTATAGTGAGGCTTATGTGAGTTAGTATTTTTGAAATCCTTAGAACAGTATTTTTGTTGTTCTAGGTGCATGTTTCTGATGGGGGCGGGGGCAGGGTGCCCAGTCTTTCAGGCGCTGCCTCCGGTGCATGTGGAAAGGGAAAGCTTACAACAGAGGGAAAGATGCAGGAGCGGGGGAGGACTCCCTGCCAGCTGGAGACGCCCCAGAGGGCAGGAATCAGGGGTCTCAAATATGGGAATCTCTTGGAAAAGTGGAAGGAGCGAAAAAGGCACAAAGGGCGCTGTATGTCCCAGGTGGGTGAGGCTGAGGAGCAAGACAGGAAGGAGCCCGAAACCGTGTGACGGCGGGTCGTGGTTATGTGGTGGCTTTCCTTAGCATATATAAAGTAATGATACGATTTACAAATGACATCTTAGGCTTGATGAAATGTGGTAGTTCTACCTTGATCTTTGAAATGACTGTGAGGTGTCCCTGTGTAATTTATTTAATGAACCCCTTCATGCAGGACATGTGGGTCACTTCCAGTTTGATGCTTGCAGACAGTGCTACCAGTGATGGGCCTTGATACCCGCCCCTGCGTCTCAGGCAGGATTCATTGCTGCATGATAGTGCCGCCTTTTTCTTTTTCTTTAAGATTTATTTATTTATGCCTACAAGAACTGGAGTGCAAGCCAGAGGTGCCAGGCGTGAGAGGATTCGCCAGAGACAGTGCGGAGCAGAACAGGCAGATCGATTGAAGTACACTGCTGAGGGGAGCACCCGGGAGAGGGAGAGGTCTGCTGCGCCCTATGGGTCAGCTCCCTGGCCGGGAATCAGACTTGCTGCAGAGGGCTTCAAAATGCTGCACTCCAACCCACTGTGCCACTAGGAAGGGCCCTTTTAATTTGTTAAAGCCATTTGATTTTGTTCACTTGCGTCTGAACCATTATCGGATATGGGCTGTTTCAAATTTGTGGTGGCAAAGAATCACAAGGAAATTTTTGAGCATGGATTAGAACTAGCTAGAGCTGAAAAGTTGTAATATTACTAAAAATCAGCTGGGGATTAGGTGCTAGTGAGGTGGTAATGTGACTGGGGATGGGAATACCTGAGTCTCTGACAACTCACCCCAACCCCAGGTCCCCAGGGGCTGCGGAGGCTCCAGAGTTGAGTGCTGAGGCTGTGCAGTCAGCAGGGAGGGGCCCAAGCGCTCCCTGGCCTCTGGGTGGGAGAAGGAGGCCGAGCACCCTGGTGCCCTAGTGCTGCCGCTTGCAAGGTACTTCGGGATGAGAGGTGCTCCCCTCTCCTCCCCACCCTTCCTGCCCTTCCCCCCCCACCCCCCAGCAGTGTCCTCTTCCCTGTAGCTGGGCTTGCAGGAGGGGAGGCAGGGAACTGGGAGGAGCCACCTCCTTCCCCTGGGGCTCTCCAGCGCTCCTCCTTTTACTTCAGGCCGGACTTGGGGAGCTGGGGTCAGAGCCGCAGGAAGGCAGGTAATGGTTTTTTTAAAGTAGGTGCATCTGTGAGTATTGGGGTGGGGGTGACCGTGAAAAGCTTGACTTTTTTCTTTTACTGATAGCAGGCCAGATGAATTTTAATGGAAGATGAAATGTTACCCTCTTTCTAGTCCCTGGCCTCTTTCAGAGAAGTAACTTCCATTTTCTGAGTGAAGCTTGGGATGCGCCAGCTGCTGAGCTTGTGGGTTTAACCCTCATCAGAATACTAAAGAAACTGAGGCACATGACTTAAAGTAATTTGCGGAGGTGGTGGAGTAGTAAGGGCCAGCCGTTCCTCTGAGAGCAGGAGTCCAGCTCGGTCAGCCTGACTCCCCGGCCCCCTCACAACTAAGGTGGTGCCAGTTCCTGCCACACCTCTGTATCGGAGCGCTCCTTGTCCCCGTTAGACTGTAAGCCCCCTGAGAGCAGGTCCCTGTCTCAGTCACTGCTGCCTGCCGTGCAGTGCAGTGCAGGAGCCCGTTAGGAATTGCTGTGCCTGAGAGGCGGTGTGGCTTCGACGAGCCGAGGGTGGGAAGCGCCTGTGGGCCCTCTGCAGCCTGCGCTCCGGGGCTGCCCGCCTTGGCCTGGTGGGGCGGTAGGGTGGGAGCAGGCGCTGAGGATTTCCTCATGGCTAAACATTGGACCTGCTGAAGTGTTTGTGGGAAAGAGTGGGTCCCCTGGCCGCGCCGACTGCCTGTCTGTGGGATGGGGCGGCTGAGCGGCTAGATGGAGCTGGTCTTCCCAGCTGGGAGAGGGGCTGTGGCAGGAGCTCATGAACTGTTTCCATGGGGCCTTACATTTTCATGGTGGTCCCGAGTCAGAAATTTCTTTAGAATTTATATAACCTTTCTCCGTCGTAAGAGACAAGACTTCCAAATTAGTTCGATTTACCCACTTGTGTGTAGACTTCTTAGTGCTTGTCTTTCCCATTTGAGGATATTTTTGGGTAGGTTCCACCGTGCCAACTTGTTAAGAATGAATAACACTGTTTTAAGTTTTCTTAAATAACTTTCAAATGGATGCATTAGTTT